GGTGACTTTGGGCCAGTCACAGTCTCTCAGCCCAACCTACCTCACAGGGTTGTTGTTGTGGGGATAAGACTGAGAGCAGGAAGAGGAGAATGCTGCAAGCCACTTTGGGTTCTTTGTAAGAAAAAAGGCAGGATATAAATCAAATAAATAAATAATACACTGAGTCTACTTGGACAGATTCCCTGGTAAGTGCGAATTAGGAGTCCAGCCTAAAAATCTTGAAGGGGTTCAAGAAACCTTTTGCAGGCTAGTTAAGGTTTTTTTAATGCCAAGTTGGCAAGATCTCTGCATGCAGGAAAGCAGGTGGAGACCATGAACCTGTGGCTGCCCTCCCTTGGAAAAGACAAACCTAGATCTGCCTGCAGAACTAACTGAAACACATGGATCCCATAGTGGAAATCCAAGACAAACGCAATTGCAGCTTTACAGTGCTGTTTGGCCCCTGTGTTACTCTGCCTGCCTTCTCTTCCCATCAGCTGCAAAGGGAGTTCTTGTCTGTCTGTCTGTCAGTCTGTCTCTCTCTCTCACACACACGGGGAGTGGGGGGAGGTACTGTCCAGGGATTGCATGGTTTCCTCCATAACAGTTATTATTTCTTTTTGCAGAAAGGAACAAGAAGGATGCAGGAGTGGGAAAACACTGCTGGAGCTGGAGATGTATTGTGGCAAAAGTCCCAGGGTGGGTTCCCCAGGCGGCTGCTCCCGCCTGCCCAGACTTCACCCCCTTTCCCCAGCCACAAGTGGGTCCTGGATCAAATCAAGCCAGAACTGTCTCTAGAAGCCAAGGCTGCCTTACTTTGGACACACGACGAGAAGGCAAAACTCTTTGGAGAAGGCCCTTGTGCTGGGGGGAGTTGAAGGTGGGAGAAGGAAAGGAAGCCAAAATATGGGATGGATTGACTCCAGAGAGGAAGCTGCTGCCTTGCACATAGAGGGCTTTTATTTATAAGGTTGCCATAAGTTAATGTTAATTTTATATTATTATATCTCAGTGTATTTTTTGTATTTTTGTATTTAGTGGTAATTTATTATGTTCTATTTTATTTCAATGTATTTTATTTATTTATTTATTAAAACATTTCTATGCCGCCCCTTGCCGAAGCCTCGGGGCGGCTCACAACATTGAATAAAATACACAATAAATTAAAACAGTAACAATTAAAATATATACAGTAGAATAAAATAAAATAAATTGTGTTTTATTGTACACAATTGTATCTTATTGTGTTGTAAGCCGCCCCGAGGCTTCGGCAAGGGG